CAACCTTTACTTGATTCAGGTTGTTTTATTGAAAACTCACTAATTGTTGCCTGTCTCACAAAGAGAAGCCTAAAGTATACAATGGTGCCACATGTTCTAGAGCTAGTAATAATGACTCATAAATGATTTTCAGATATTTAATTTAAGGCTTTGTGTCCTTATTGCGACATCTATCGAGCGGTTAAGACATGGCCCTTTTTCAATCTTGTGAAAATAATCAGTTAAAATATAACCTTGTACGAACGTTTGATGATCGTATGAATACCGGGATCGGTGGCTGTCTCTCCCTATGCGAATGCTAACATCACTTTCATCCGCTTCATTCGCACCGGTGGAATGGCTAATCTATATGCTAATTATAAACATGAACTATGACTCTCCTTTTGACTGAAGATCTACGTTTTCGACTCTTCAGCTCGTTTCACTAAAGATATATTTTTTTAGACCAGGCCCACGTTACGCTAGCCCTGTAATCGTTCTGTCGATTTCCTGTTCGACTGTAGGTAACCCTAAATCATCGGCTGTGGGAACTGGGATTTGTCAATTCTGCAGCAGAACTGCATCTACTTGCCATCTCATCTATGCTTCGAGGACGAGAAGGACGAATACAGTGTAGTAGTGTAATAGCTATACTTTGATGCAAGAGTTTCATTTTGTTGTGAGGGCGTAGTGATATTATTGCTTATTTATATAAAACTTTAGCTCAGTCGGTTCTGGAAGGTTGTACTATCCCTTTGAGATAGCAACCTTGGGCTGCAGTAATGGCTTTCCAACTCTGTTACACGCAAGTATGAAGTGTATTCTTTCACACAATATGATTGGGTTACAATTTTAGGGAAAACTCTGTCCACAGCAATGAAGGCAGTGCTAAATGAAATACATACAAAAGGGCGAATAATGTGCGGTTGCCAAGGTGTCAGCTGCTCCACAGAAAGCAATGCGCAACCATGAGATGCTGGACATAGGTCTATGATATACGATGGATGTAGACGAACTATTGCATTAGCACCGATTAAAAGAATGAAGCATATATTATTAGCTTGTTCCAAAATAATGTCACTACAAATTCGGGTGCAACTGACATATTTCGCGTTTACATTGTGGTCGTGCCACGCGACTCTGCTTTGTGGTAATCATTCAATGCTGCTATTATTGTGTGGAATTTGCATTAACTGAAGCAAATTAAGCATTTTGGAGTTTCGAGTCTTCTTTACAAGTCCGATTGACACAGTCATCGGTGCATTTATAATGACAACATAAACTATTGTTTGTGGGTCCTTTGCGATTACATAGGGATGATTCGACAGTCGCCTCAAATTCTGTTGCAGATCTTCAAACATTAGATAGTGTTGGCATTATTAAAGCACCAATGATAATGCCAGGTGAGATGGATTGTCATGTGAAATTCATTCTGAGCCTTAGTGGATTCAATGAATCCCCACTGGCTACTGTAAGTACAAATTAGCGAATGCGGTGCATCAAAAACCATCAACGGAACCTTTACAAGTGGTGTGACCTGTTAAAGTGGGTCCTCTACGCCGTGATCTCGAAAAGAATTGAGGGTGACCTGGATGGCGACCCCACTCAGACCAGGATATAACCCGCACAATTGTAAACGATGTTTTTATGCTATTGATAATTGGTTGTTTTACCTTTGTTTCTGACTTGTTTGAGTGGGGTATTTGGTTAAGGAGGTCCAGTTAAGTCATGCGATTTCTACGTTAACAAATGGCATTGTCTACGAGGTGCCCTACTTTAGGCAAGATTTACAACAAAAGGTCCTCTACACTACACCCCTCACTATCAGGATAGACTGGGCGGGAGCCAATGCGTCATTCCTTAGTCTCGAGTCTTCATTTTATGGGTATTTGTCGACACCCTTCATCGTCTGCTGTACCACCAATGGAGCACTGGTCCAAGGAAGCACTAAGGAATGTAACACTGCTAGCTGAGTACATTGGTATGTGCATAGATGGATGGATGGATAGATGGAGGTATGAACACAGAGAGAGATTTAGGCTTATAAATCTTTAGGGTATGAGTGCGTCTTGTAGACTATACGGACCCATAAAACTCCAAGGTGTACGTTCTCGGGTATGGAAATGCTTAC